ATACAGTGATTGGATGGCCCTTAGCAGCTGGCCATCAATCCCGCATGTACGAAGGCATGTCCACAGACTGTTGCGTGGGATTCGGTCATACGCTTTCTCTAGGTTTCTTTTCTTAAACTCACATAAATTAAGCATATATCCATTTTTACCTTCAATCAGCAATGGTGCAGGTCTAGGCTATGATATTCATAGATAATAAATGAACTGCGACCAAAAGTATTTCGATACCTTGTCTGAGATTAAGCTGCTTCATGTTGTTCTGGAAAGCATTTATCTATGAGAGATAATGTGAGGATAGACGGCAACGCTATCCAGAAACACGTGTGTTACTCGGCCACTGGAAAGGATACTTTAGGACAAGTGACGCTCGATCGATTCAAACAATAACAAGTAACCACTAGGTCGAAATATCGAAGGCAGATTTGCAAGTTCGTTGTGAAAGGCAACCGTTCCATGTTCCATTACCTGATCGTCCGAGCTCGTGTGTCACCGGTCCAGGAAGACGGACACCGTTGCTCATCAGAGAAGGCGGCGTTAAATTACAACAGTAGTGTAAATCGATGCTACCCGTACTTTATACGGAAAGGCTATGATGACTCATTGACGATGACTCCGGGAGACAAGCGAGACGGTCAGGTGAAATTACGGCGCTGCTGGCAACGACGACAGAGGCTGCGGAGGTCATTGGTTCGAGTCAAGCCCGGTCGGCGGTTAATCAGCGGTGCTGTGGTGGTCGAGGATCGAGGAACGACGTAACAACGAAGACGAGGGCAGCACCGCAGCCAACGGCAGCGAACTCATGACACACACAGACACACAGAACAGACAGGGAGAGACAGAGAGAGTAGCGAAGCGAAGCGAACAACCAACAGCCAACTATAGCAGCACGGTTGCAGGTGTTCGAAGGAAACCACGCCACGGCTACGTCACGCGTGAAGGTGGCAAAAAGTGAAGCATGTGGGCGACCTCCGCATGGGAAAATGACATCTATGTACACATCATGTGCAGAACGAGGCGAGTCCGAATTACGGAGGGTCCCTTCGAAAACCTGAAAAACGTGACCTCACTCAGTTTTTGTTTTAGACCCCGCTGCAATCGAACATATTCCAACGATCTGATTTGTTGTTACAAATATAACATCGAGAAAGACCCTGTCGACACGTCGACAGTCAAAATACTCGCCATGACAATTCCGATAACATTTCGCCATATTCATAACTAGCCCAATTCCCATACACAGTATGATAAAAAATCAGTCCTAGGGAAACTGAACAGGTCAGTCAATGAGCATTTAGATTAATTTCTACTAAGAGGGTCAAAATATGGGTTCACAAGCTGGAATATGTTAACTGGCGCCCAACTCTTCCAAGACCAGATTTCGAGGAGTGCTACACCGCATATTTGCTCCTAGTTAATCCCTAAACAAAGAAACTGGCACAGCAATCCTCCTGTGAAGAGACACAGTTACCATGCAGAAGACGGTGCTGAAGAATTTAAACTACCAAACGTCTTCCGACTTCCACGAAACACCCTCGGTTCCACTATGCCACATGGATTCGTCGTCACCTTTGTATGGATCAGTTTGAGGCCTGCGTTCATTGCACCTGCACACCCCACTTCAGAATGCGCATTATACCATAGTCGTTGCATCCCAATACGACAACGTCATCAACATGGTCCAGGTTCGTAAGGCACTTCGCCGACAAACACGAACCACTTAGTCTTCGTTCGAAAATGAGACCGTCCTCACAGAGCAGTTCAGAGCTGTCTCATGGAATATATTCTACTAGTGCATTGAAGAAAGTATAGCATCTGGTATATCGTCTTGTTTATTTACGTTTCTGACTACGAACCATTCCGAAATCCGTTCCGTCCTTCGACTTTCACAACGCTTATCGTCCGATTGTAAATTCCTCTTTTGTGTTAACAATCTGCTTTGGAATACCGAAGATGCAGGATGCTCCACATTGTGGATCGAATCAAATGCGGCACGGAGATGGACGGATGTGAAGTTCAAGGAAAGTTGGAACCATCTACGTTACTCGGAGATACGATACAGTTAGAAGATGTAGTATAAATAAGAAGCTGGTACAGAGCATCACTTGGTTTCCTCATAAATGGCTCTCAACCCTCTTCACTGTCGTTGTAAAATTATTATGAAAATGATAATGCCACCTCCGGCGTCGATAGTTCGAGTAACTGCTGTGCTTGTTGCCACGGTTTTTGTGGATTGCGACTATAATTCCCATTTTCCAGCCTTCGGAAAATTTCCTCTCGTCCACCTAGATCGTTTCTTTCTGGGAAAGCTGCTTTCATAAATCCTACAGGAAAAGTGATCATCGTCAGCTTAGCATATGTAGCTTAGCAATGATTAA